CATTTTAAAATTTGTTGTCGCAAAAAATATTATATCACGAGAATTTCAGAACGGCGTATTAGCGATGCTTGTCGTCGCAAAAAAAATAAGTTGTCGCAAATATATTTGTGACGACACTATAGCGTCGCAAAAAAAGTTTTTGCGACTAATTTTTTGTGACGACATATCTGCGATAACATGTCGTCGCGAAAACTATTATTTGCGACGACACTGGGGTTTTTGCGACGACTTTTTATCGTCGCAAAAACCCCTTTTTCTTGTAGTGATGTCTAAGTGACATTGACTAATGATAATAGGTTCAAAATGTTTAGAGTTAAGAAAATAAGTTAAGCATGTTAAGTAACGGTCCAAAAAGTATACATAATATATCAATAAAAAATTTAAAATACAAGATTAAAAGCAAAATAAAAACTTTAACACGCAAACAACCAAGGTTAAATATACACACACCCCTAAGCTAACAAGAAGTCAAGTGCAAAACACATTTGTACACTTTTCTTAAAAAAAAACTAAAAAAAGGAAAAAAAAAAAAGTCAAAAGAAGATTTAAAAAACAAAAAGAAGAAACATGAAGGAAAAAAGCTTAAAGAAATTTAAAAAAATTAAAAAAACTGAAAAAGAAAGGGAAAAATGAAAAAAAAAACGTTTATAATACAATTATAAAAAAGAAGAGAAAATATTAAAAATACAATTTTAAAAAAGCAAAAACAAAACATCTTAAAAATACAATTTTAAAAGCCAAAAAGAAAAGAAAAGAAAAGAAAAAAAGCTTGAAAGAAATCAAGCTAACACATTGGACATAAAAAAAAATTTTGATAAGAACATTGAAAATACAAGTAAAAAAGAAAGAAAAAGGCTTAAAGATACAATTTTAAGGGAAAAAAAGAGAAAAAAGCTAGAAACTAAGCAAGCTAACATGTTGAAGTACAAAAGTTTCAAAACCTCATCCACACTTGTATATATACTAGTTGAACTTCACGTGCTATGTACATGACAAGTAATCTTTGTGTTAAGTTTTAATTACTGATTTATTATTAAAAGCATATAACATCTGTATATAAAATCCAAAAAAAGAACAAAAATGAAAAAAATAAAATTTTGGGGCAAGAAATAAAAAAAGACTAAAATGAAGAAACAAATAAATTATGGGGCAAAAGGGACCAAAATGATAAAAAAAATAAAGTTTTAGGGCAAAAATAAGAGAATGTATAAAATAAGGACCAAAATAAAAAAATAAATAAGTTTTAGGGCAAAAGAAATTAAAACGAAAAAATAAAACTTCTGAAGAAATAAATAAGTTTTAGGATACCACTAGAAAGAAATACTTTAGTAGGATAACATATGCAAGAAAAGTAATTTTGGTAAATGAAAGGAAAGAAGGAAGTTAAAAAGAATAGTAAGAATGAAAAATATAAAATTTTGGAGAAAAAAGGAAAAAGAAAAAGAGAATATAAGAAGAAAAGAAACCATCAAAACAAAAACAAAAACAAAAAAATACAAAACGAACGTTTCAATCAAAAGGCTCGTTTTGGTTAATTTTACTATTTATTGAATAGTACTTATTCAAATATATATGTATAGACTAATTAATAAAGAACGTGCCGCTCAGCAACAAAAGAAAATTGTGCTTTTTCTTTCGTGGGGAATATTATTAGGTGTGATCAACAATGCTTAAATGTAAATGCAAAAAAATAAAATAAAATAAAATAATAAAAAAAACCATGGGTTTTTCTTTCTCATGAAAGTATATAAATAGGCACTCTAACAAAACCTATAATTAGAATCAAATTTAAACAACTATTACGTTTATATACATCTACAACCTCATAATGGAATCACTAATTAATATCTAAAGTTCTTCATTTTTTAAAATGATAATATTATAACTTTTTAAAATTAATAATCCAAATATCAATTAATTATATGTGACGATGATTATAAAAGGGAAAAAAAAAGTTGAAGTAGAAAAAGATATTTATGCTATAAAGTGGTTAAAAGGGATGATCAAAGTAATTAGTGTTAGGTTTTTGTTAGTCGGCAGTTGTTTGGTAAAAGGTTTGTAAAAGGTTGTAAAAATTCAAAAACTGCTGCAAATGGTCTTTGGCGTGTGTGTACAGTTGTGGAGATTTAATTTCTGCATTTTGCTCCGGATTTGGCAAGCTGATATCAGTATTGGGATGATTCTTTCCATAGAAGAAGGCAGGTATTTTGGGGATGTAATCTTAGGAGGTTGTTTTTTGGTTATTTGATTGGCTCTATCTTTGGAAAGTATTTTTGGGGATGTAATTGATTGTGTAGGCTGTCGACGTTGAGGAGAATGAAGTGTGCAGAGTGTGGCTGTTGATGAGAGGGTTGTGGGATGAGTCTTTTGTTTGAAGGAAAAATACAACCTGTAGAAAAGGAGTATTATGGTGATGCCTAATTGGTGATTGAAATATTAGGCCTTCGGGAGTAGCTTGCATCGCTTTTGGGAGTAGCTTGCATCACTTTCGGGAGAAAGCTTTTGAACACGAGTGGTGCTCGCTGGACAGAGTCGCTAAGAGGATTCTTCACAACGGTGATTACGGCAAAGAGAGAGTCTTTGAGTATGTAAGACCGATTGGTGACTGTAAATCTTTGAACTTAGTGGATTATTCACTGTTTGGTCGTGACCTCGCAGATGTAGGTGTGCGCACCGAACTATAATATCATTTTTGGTGTTCTTTAATTTTCCCCTGCATTACTTTCTGTTTTTGCACGTTTTCAATTCTCTGTCATTTTGATCATCTCAGAACGTATTAATTAATTACAGGTGTTGCTAAAAGTATTGTAACACTCTTTGTAACACCAGCATGAAAGCAAACCTTACAATTAGTTAATTGATTTTTAATCTATACAAATATGAGCCTTTTTTCTAAGATTATTAGAATAAATCTACGCACTGCCTATTTTCTTTCCTAAAACGAAAGCAAAAGAAATTGATAGAGATATATATAAAATGACTAGGAGATTGCTCATACAAAATGTTAAGTCGCAAGAATTTTTACAATGCACTACTCCTACATATTAAATGGCAAATGGAATTCACCATGGTACTCAAGATGTGGGATGACGCATGGGATTGCATTTTCTTAAAGCAACAAATCAACCTTTTAATAAAGTTAAAAGGTCACATAAGTAATGTTAGAGACACTAACTCAAATCTTAACTTTTATATATTAACTGACGTGACATGTAAATTGTCATATTTTTATTAGTAGATGTAAGCTCTTACTATTAATCGATATAGTAATATTTTAAACACTTATCACCAATGTAGAAATGAAAACTCATATATAGCACATCAGTTGATACATAAAAGTTGAAATTTAAATTAGTGTTCCTAGAATTATTCATCCCTAAGTTGAAGTACGAGAATGTAGAGGAGCTACAATACTTATAGATTTTTTATATTAACTTGTGTGAGAGTGTGAGGTGCACGTAAGAAGATAAAGAAGTCAAATGGACTACATTTAAACCATTAGATTTAAACTAAGTGAAACATGAGTAAGTTTGAATTATTGATGAGATTATAGATTGTAGATCCATGGCTACTCCCATGAGAACACAAGGGAATCATATTCTTTGGGATAAACAATTAACATAGTTTGCAGAAGAATCTTGGAATTTCAGGAAAAGCTAAGTATGAAAAAGCTAGCTAACTTGTCTTTTACGACTCTTCTCCTTTGTGATCTATACATATCTATTGCCCACTATTGATTGCCCTTAAGGATAGGAAGGATCTACACGCATTCCTCCTTCGCATTAGTACGAGTGTCGTGCATGGTGTTATTTTAAAGGGGCAATTAGTTCATCAATAAATGTAGAGAGTCCCGGTTTGAGTTTCATGCCTTTTTTATTTTTATTTTTTTAAAGTCTCATGCATGGTTAATAAGGATTAAGCAATTAAAAGATAACTTCTGAGCGAAAAATAAAATAATTTTTTTTTATCATGAAAAAAGAAAATTAAACAAGGAATGAATTATAAATTAATTAAAGAACTTGAGAGGCTTTTAATGTCAATAAGGGGTTAATTTAAAATTGACCCTTGAAGAATACTATGTCTCTATAATTAAAAATGGAACAAAACATCTAAGATTACCATATGTTGTAATTTTTGTATTTTTATCATCAAAGGATTAATTTTTTTAATGGTCCTAATCGTGTGTGGACTACGTGGCTAGTTGACAAAGAAAAATTTTAAACAGTTTTAATATGTATGGGTCACTTGACGAGCACACACGAATAAAGTTATTACAAATTTAGGAGAAATGAGACAACTATTCTTTCAAAGTACATGAGTCATAATTTTTATCTCTTACTCTCAATTAATAACATTTTTAGTCAAATAATTATACTTGCAAAAGGGTAATAATAAAAATGAGGGATAAAAATCCAGATCCATACACTTTTAAAGGTACATTCTGTAATTTTCTCAAAAAATTTTAACATGTCAACAATAGAAGCACCAAAGTTGATATAAATTGGAACTTTATGTTTATTTGTTAACCATAAATTATAACATTTAAGTTAAACATTTTAGTCACTAGATTGTTTTATGACAGCACAGTAAAAAGAAAAAAGTTGTGAATTATAATTTTAGTCGTAAGGTTCTATGTTTGCGGACACGGCTTTTATTATGATTAAATCCCTTTTTTGGTAGTGATTAGGTTTAAGGATGGATGTGTACATAAAAAAATAAAAAATAAAAACAAGTGAGGGATCTTTGGTGTTGAGAGAAAAGAGTTAATTACACAAGTATAGTTACTATTTTAACTTTTTCTCAGTTTATGCCTCTGTTTCTAGAAATTAACAATATAATTTTTGAACTCAATAAATATGTTTCAATTTCACCCTCTTACATATTTTGTACAAAAAAAATCAGAAAGACAAAAATAACCTTATATAATGACCTATTTTTTTATTATAGAAAGACAAGAATATATCTTTTGGAAGGTAGAATATTTACCTTCATATGTGTAATCCATGGACACACACACGGACTAGATTACATTCATACGTGTAATCCTTGTTGATGCTAATTGTGTAGGTTTGTCGGTAGTTACTAGGAATATAAAATTGAAACATCGATCTTTAACTAATAGAGAGTTCATTTGGCAGGTACAAAAGGTAAGTAAAATTCTATGTTCCCTTGAGAAAATTTCTGCAGATCTTCTCCCAGCACTTCTTATCTGGCTCAGTTATTTTCAGCACAATCTTCGCATTTTCAGCAAAACCTCTCTGTAATCAAGTTCTAAATCTAATTAATAAATGTAAATGAAAAGGTAATAAATAAGTAAAAGAAAGAGTATAAGGTTAATCTCATTTGTCCTCTTTTGAACTTTAGAATCATTTTCAATTTGTCTTTAGAACTTTAAAAACTCTCACTTTGCCCTTTTAATTTTGAATTAGTCACACGTTACTCCTTTGTTAGAGTTTTTATTAAAAACAGACAAAAAAAGGAGATTAAGTGTGATCATGAGGACTTTTTTTAATTTGCTTTTAATAGGAAGACCACCTGATTGCACTACCCCCTTTGTTTAGTATGTTTTTGACAAAAATTCTAATAGAGGAGGTTAAATAGTACTAATGTAAAACTTAGGAGAGAAAATGTGAGTTTTTAAAGTTTAGTAGACAAAATAGAAATAATCTAAAGTATGAGGGACACATGTGGAAATAAACCAAAAGTACATCACAAATTAGTATTTGATTATATGATGAAGATCAAATCATAGCTTTAATATTTAAGATTTTATAAGAGTTTATGTTATTTGAAATTAGGTTTAGTTTTCCATTTATCAAGGTTTCTTATTTTGTTTTGGTTTACTTTCCTACTTCGTTATTTGGTTTGCCGATAAATATAGTAGCATTGTATTTCATTGCAGACAATGGTTAATGAATATTGGAATTAGTATTTATCTCTCTTTGAGTTCCTATTTCACTATCCAAACCCTCTCTATTTCCCTGTCTTGTGGCTTTTTTTCTCTTTCTTGAGTCTATTTTTCTATCTCTATTTCTTTCTCTTTTTGATTTTACATCACTATATATAGTGTGTGTGTGTGTATATATATATATATATATATATCTATACCTCTATGGAGCCATTATTTAGTAGGCGATCAATGAGATTATCAAGTATGTCTTTGGTGTATTCTGGATGACCTTGAATACCAAGGATGTGGTTTTCAATGGCAAACATTTCAACCCCAGTTTTGTCTGAATATCCAATCACATTAGCTCCCAAAGGAACCTCCCAAACCTCATCTTGGTGGCACTCTATGATTGAAAGAGAAGAGGGGATTTCATCCAAGTCTTCAAGGAAGCTTCTGAAAGGTGTCAAATCCTTCACTATTTTTACCTTCCTTATCCCAACATCCCACCCACTATTAGCTTTCCCTCCCTCCCCCCCCAATGCCCTGCAAAGAACCTGAAAAAAAAAAAAAACAAAAAAAAAAAAACAAAGAAAAGAAAAGTACATTACTTTTATTTTATCAAAGTAGGTATTTATCAAAACCAATTGTTAATACTTCGATATATAAATACAATCTAATGAAAATCTGAGAATTCACACTGGAGGGCTACCATGTATCAAACCATTCTATCAAAATTTCAAAATCCAAATAATTTCTTAAAGTTCATATTTTTTTTTTTTAATGTAGGTTTTTAATATTGGATTAAACTCAATTATAGTCGTGGTCCATTTGGAAAAAGAAACTAAGCGAATTAACTATAAATACATACTTAAAAAGTACAAAGAGATAAAAAAAAAATTATAATAAAATTCACTATTAATTTAGTTCGAAGTTTTAGTTTACTTCATATCTTTTATCTTTTATGGCTCCGTCACTAATTCCACGAAAACATTTTCCCATGAAATAAAGTTAGAAAAGGGGAAAAAAATAGTTATTCCCAAATAATTGCTTCTATATATATATATATATATATATATGTACACTTTAAAAATACTCAAAGTAGTACCTGATGACCAAAGCAAATTCCAAGGACTTTCTTGCCCATGGAATCCAAAGTCTGCAAGAGAAAGCAGAGCTTGATAATCCATGAGTCATTTCCATAAGCATCGTACGGACTTCCACTAATCACAAAGCCATCATAGTTGTCCAACTCGCTCATCTCAGGAAACTCTCTCTCCACAACCCTGAACAAGTCCCACCTCTCGCCTTCTTCCCCGAAAGCCGCCACGAACACGTTGAAGTAGCCTCCGTACGTCTTCTTCACGTACTCCGAGTCCCTCGCCGCGAGAAGAAGAGCAAATCTTTTCTCAACCTCCTTCATGGTCTTCAATGCCAACACAAAATATATATGTATTATTTGATCAATCCAAATTAACCCTAGAATATGCAGAGACGTAGTGTTGTTAATATAAGCTAAGAAAGTACTATACATTGTAGAAATGGTTTGGAGATAGGCTCTATTTATAGGACGCTAAAGTTCTTTTGAAGTTTGATATATAGCGTGGAAGCTTCTTCAATGGCGTTCTTACCTTTTTCTTTTATTTAAATTTGTTTTCTTTTGTTTTTTGGGCTTATTTAACTATAATCTTTAAACATGTGTTTATTACTATTTATATATACCGCGTAATGCGTGAGTGGAAGAATTTGCACGTGAATCTCTAATCAGTTAAGGATTAATATTTAATAGTAACTGATATACTATTAGTAGTGGTGTATATTAATATAGTTTTTATACCTGTCTAGAATCCGAATTATCCAAGATGATTTTCCCTTTCTTTTATCTTTCTTGATGGAAATTTTGCGCACTATTTAGTTAGAAAAATTTGTAGAGAGAATAAAGGATATTTGAATACATAGAATGGCATTTGGATGTGGTTCAAGTTCTGGGTAGTTTCATTCCCACACAATGGTTTTTGAGCTTAAAATAAGTATAGTTGTACAACTTCTTATAAATAATAATAATTATTGAGAAAAGTGCATGTGTGTTGTCCTATAGGAAAAGTGGATGAGAATGTGAAATAGTTTATATACATGAAATGACTTAAAACTCAATAGGTTAACCTTTTGGGTCAAATTGGGCTCTTAAAATGTATTGGGTCAGTTTCGCATGCGGTATCTTCCCAACAAAGTGGTATCAGAGTCGATGCTGCGATCACACTCGATTACAGTTCTCACATTGTCTCCCGTGGAGAGTTGGTGTTCCCGCAATTGGTACCATTGCAGGTGCAGATGGTGGAACATTTTAGGGACTCACATGCTTTTAACTTCTTTCCCATGTTCGAGTTGGCTCCTATTTGGAGTGTGCTGCTTGGATGTGTCAGCTATTAGAAACTTTCAAATAGAAAAAATAAATAAAAATAAAAGAAGCTCTCAATCAATATGAGCTAGGAAAAACAAATCTACAAATTTGTAAATCTCTCAACAAATTTGTGGAAATAAATGTTGATGAGAAGCTACTTATTAATTAAATCATATGACAAGATTCATTACAAGATAAGATACATATCAAGCTACAATTGAGCTGTTGTTTAAGAAACTTGAAAAACTTTGCACTTGAAGAAAGAGCTAGAAAAAGAATTTTTAAGTATATTGTGGAATGTATGTAGGAATCATTATGTACATGATACATCCATTTCTAGATCAACGAGTGAATCACAATATTATTCATCTTTTTCTTCTCCCATATTAGCCTGAAAATGCGTAATTGTGGCAACTCTATCTTTCCGAACATAAGTATTCCCAACTGAGTTTCTTCTTTATTCTTTCTCATGAATTGGGACATCATTGCCGAAAAAATTAGAGTTCAATATTATATTTGAGAATATAGACTCGAATAGTATATTTCCGAATATTCGTGTTCTACAAATTATGCCGAATTTCATAACCAATTTGCCCTAGAGACACCGTGTTTGAATTAGAATGTATTTTCTTTATCGTGGATTCCCTAGTGGAAAATTTGTAATTAGTATTTTTATTCTTTTAGCTCGCTAAGCCTTTTGTGAACTTTATCATATTCCTTCAGTAAACTGTATCCTTATTATACTGCAGGAATATCAACTTTGGTTGGGATTCTATGGAAAAAGAAAAAGAAAAAAGAAAAAAAGAAAAGAATTACCTTACACCAAGTTATATCATTTAATTTAATTTATTGGTTCTTCGAATTAACATATGAAACGTGCGTGATATTTAACTTGCTAAATAACAAACATTAAAGCATCAATCGGTTTTGAACGCCTAACCTTACTGTGTGTCACATAATCTTTAGTGGAGTGTTGACCTAATTCCGAGATTAAATAATGTCGTGTGATTAAGCATGTCTAATTTGGTTGATTAAATACAAAATATAAATTTATAGAAGTAGTTAAAATGCCAAATTAGAATTCTAAAATTTTGTACGCTTATAAATTCTAATATTTTAGAATTTTTTTTTGACGCTTTAGGAAAATTATTTTTCTTTACCTGATCATTCCTTGAATAAGGTTCAACCCTCCCTCTCTATAAATAGTCTTTTTTTTTTTTTTTTTTTTTTAATATTTGTGGAAAGAGAGTTTTTTCTTCCTTAGCCTGTACACATTTCGGAGCTCATGACAATCACAACATGTCAACAACAACATGAGAAAGTGATTCTCTCAACTGTTGCAAAAAAAGGCAGCATATATAAAATAGTAATGTCTCATGGAAAGCATATTATATATTAACGATTTTGGGGGGCTGCAGACAAGTAGGATCAACTTTGGAATATTGATGTTGCAAAGTATCATAACTTCTAAAGGGTCTAGGTTCAATATTACGGCCAAATGTGAAAATAACCCATTTTCCATTTGCAATATTCCAGGAATAATGTTTGGCTATGATGCTTAATTGTTTAGTTCAAGTTATTCTGGATGGTGGAGACGACACATACATATACACACACACACACACTTATATATATATATATATATATATATATATATATATAGCTACATCCTATAAACTGTGCATACAAAAAATTAGTTTAAAATTAGGGAGAATTGAAAAGAAAAGTATACGTTTGCTTTTAATATTTCATGGAATCATGCAGATTAGGTAGAGCATTTTACAGAAATCAAAGGATATTGAGCCTAACTCAACCTAACAAAACCTGGTTTTTGTGATTTAAAAGTTCAAAAGGTGTCTTGTTGGACAACAAGGGTGAGGAGATGCGATTAATTAAATAGACCACTGTCATAACACAATCACCCCAATAACAAAGTGGGACACAAGATTGAAAAAGAAAGGCGCGTGCCACATTAAGGATATGTTGATGTTTGCGTTCAACAACGGAATTTTGTTCCGGTGTGTCAACACAAGAATGATAAGGAAGGATGTCTTTAGAGCGGAAAAAATCAGTGAAAGCTAACTCAGGAGCATTATTAGAACGGACAGATTTTATATGAGTGCCATATTGAGTTTGAATAAGAGTGTAAAAATCTAGAAAAATGGTAAGCACGTCAGATTTTGCATGCAAAAGATAAACCCAAGTAGCTTTAGTGCGATCATCAACAATAGTGAGGAAATATTGATACCCAAAGGTAGTTGCAACATGAAAGAGCCCCAAATATCAATATGTATCAAATCAAAGGGCTTATCAGACACATGGTTATGCGAAATAAACGGATGACGTTTTTGCTTAGCCATGTGACAGATGCGACAATGAGATGAAAAATTTGAAAGAGAACAGGGAATTTGTAATTCATTATGAAGCATTTCAAGTTTTACAGGAGATGGATGTCCTAGGCAAAAATGCCATACATCATGCTTTGACAATACAGAACAAGAAAACATGGAATTACAAATTAGAGCTCCTAGTTCTAAAAAGTAAAGATTGTTGTGTCTGCTACCCCTCCCAATCATCAAGCCCCGAGTAAGGTCCTGAATGATACAAGAAGCAGAAGAAAAATTAACACAACAGGAATGGTTGAGGGGAAGAGCACTCACGCTGAGAAGATTAAAAGAGAATAGGAGAACAAATAAGATGTTGTGCAAAATCAAAGAATCGGATAAAGGACAGTACCAATTCGAGTAATATCAACAGTCTGACCATTAGGAAGGGTGACTGTGGTGTGGTGAATTATTTTTTAGTGAGAAGAGAGAGAGAGAGAGAGAGCAACATACATGGTGTGTGGCACCAGTATCAATAACTCAAGTTTAGGGCGGAATAGATGGATGTGAAAGAGAAAGAACATTGGAGAGATTACAATTGACATGGGACATAGAAGGATCCATAGCCGATTGAGATCCAGATGTAGAGGCACCACGAAGCTGAAGTTGTGAGCTGAGGTAGGCAATGAGTTGCTGAACCTTATTAGTGGAGAACTGGTCAGACGGAGGAGAGAAAGTTGTTGTTGTAGCAGCGGTAGAAGCAGAGGTATAGTGAGGCGAGAAGTCTCAGATATGGATTGAATAGAGCTCTGGTGGGCTTGGGCCTTGGGCTTGGGCTTGTAACCATGTGTGAAACCATGAAGTTTGTAGCACTGATCCACAGAATGGCCCGTTAGTCCACAATGAGAACAGATCAGACGGTCACGTCTGGGCCAAGACTAAGAAGATGAAACTGCCGCAACAGGAACATTTGGAGTCGGAAGAATGGGTGGTTATGATGAAGGGACGCTAAAGACTAAAGAATCCCTTAGAGCAGTGGGAATGGAGCCGATGGTACATTGTCGTTCCTCCTGAACGACCAGATTGAACACCTTTGCAACAGAGGGCAAAGGATCTAGTATTAAGATTTGGCCTCTTGTCCCAGAATATGAGTCATTGAGACCCATGAAAAATTGCATCACATGCTCCTGTTCTTGATAATCCATCCATGCCTCCATACCTCCACATTGATAAACGGGAACGGGTTGAAAATTCTTAAGTTCATCCCAAAGAATTTTCAGTCGAGTGAAATAAGTGTTGAGATCCAGAGAGCCCTGTGATAGACCATGAAGCTGTTGTTTGATCTGAAAAATGCATGGAGCATTACTCTGACGAAATCGTTCATGGAGATCAGCCCAAACCGCGTGAGCGCTGTCAAGGTAAAGAAGACTGTTAGCAATCTCCTTGGAGACAGTATTAAGCAACCAAGAGGTCATCATACTATTGCACCGAGACCAAATACTAGTGGTGGGATCAACGGAGGCGGGCTGCTGAAGAGAACCATCAACAAATCCGAGCTTATTTTTAGCATTGAGTGCCATAAGCATGGCACGACTCCAGGTATTGTAGTTCGGACCAGTGAGTATATGAGAGACAAGAGTTAATCTTGGGTGATCGCCATTGTGAAAAAAAAGGGCGATTGATGTTATCCATGGCAGCTGGAACTGGAATAGATTGGGTAGTAGGAGAAGAAGTAGGGTTGAGAGGTTGAAGCCGATTTGTGTTATTATTGTTATTCTGGCCACCATGAGCCATGGGTCAGAAGGAAGGAGAAGAAATGGGCCAGAAGAGAGAAGAAGAAAGAGCAGAGAATTAAATCTCTGATACCATATTAGAGAGTAATGAAAGACAGTTTTTTATTCTTCTTCATTTCTCTTTCATTCTTCTCTAATATTAGTATACAAGCATTGTTTTTAGGTCAAATATATTTTATTTAGAGAAACTGGTTCTCTGCAACTAGCTAGCATTCATACCGATAATAATAAGAATAATAATAATAATAATGAAAAACCACTGGTGCTTGGACGTAGCAGTGATATACACCTCAAAATAAAAGAGAGATTCAATTCTAGGTCTCTAATTTAAAGAATTAGGAGTACAAGGATTTAGATGCCTTAGAAGATAATCGAATCATTCTATATTTATTTTCTAGCTTTGATATTTGTTGGGGTCATATATCGCTTAATCTCAACCGTGTACATGTCAACTCGAATTAATTAAGCATAAAGACGATCAACTAAGGAGACCTTACAGAAGGATTCAACAACCCAAGACAGCTAAAATAGCTCAGATCCAAGTTCAACCTGGAACGACTGCAACATCTGGAGTGAACTACGATTGCTCAATAGAGTCCAATGCTCCAAAAAATATTCCAAGAATCTTCCATTCTCCGATTTTAGGAAGGTACCAAATCACAACAGAGGTGGTCCTTATCTCAAAGCATATGAAATTTACCAGGGAATTTGAAAAACGTATAAGATTGTGAAAGACCACTCTATTCAAAAAAAAGAAAAATAGCTCCAAACAAGCAACCAGAATTTACAGCTACAAAAGGAAGCATGCCCTCAACACAAGGCTTCCTTTTAAAGTTGATGGGCTATACGAGTTGGAATGCGCTCAGTCGCTGATGGAGACTTCAAAACAAACCATTCCAATAAGCTACTTAGAAAGACCATGCATTAGAGAGCCGACTTCAGCAAAAGTAGTCGACAAAGACTTCTCAGATTCTTGGATGACTCCTAACATCAACTATCTACCGAGCATGGAGAGCTCCCATCCAATAAGGAGGAGGCCAAAACGTTGAAGATTTGGGGTGTGAGGTATTCTATTATCAATGGTAAACTTTACGTTTGTTCATTTTCAATAACATATCTTCGTTTTCTGAACTCCGGTAAGGTTTGTTACGTCATCAGAGAGATCAATGCAGGTGAGTGTGGCAACCACTCAGGACTACGATCTCTTGTGTACAAGGTCTTGTAATAAGGATTCTATTGGCCCACAATGAAAGCCAACTGTGAAGACTTCACAGGCAAGTGCACTTAGCCCAAGTGGTCCACTAAATTGTAGAGCTACTCTCTTCGGTAAGCAGCTTGTACCCATTAATGAAGCTTGCTATGGATACTATTGGTCCATTATTGCTGACCTTTGGGTTGCGAAAGTTTGTCTTGGCTATTATAGACTACTTCTCTAAATAAGTGAAAGTCCAACCATTCACTCAGGTTAAAGATGTCATGTTGAAAGATTTGTGTATAAAGAAGTCAAATATACAAATTTGGACTTCGACAAGAAATAGTCACTGACAGTGGCATGTAGTTTACAACTGACGAATTCAAAGACTTTTAAGACTGATGCAAGATCACTATCGACTTCTTAACTCCGTGATACCCCCAAGGGAATGGATAAGCCGAGACGACCAATAAACCAATCATGAATAACCCCAAGAAAAAGCTCAAAAGTTATAAAGAAAAGTGGCTAGATAAACTACATTGCATCCTTTTTGTTAGCGTTTATACCCTTAGGAATAACTGTAATAATATCTTTGTGAGACATTTTGACTATTAATAAATATTTATTTATTTTTTATATCTATGTATTGTCTTCTTTACGTTTATATTAGTTAAACGTATGATAAGCAGACTGTAAGTCTGAGACTGTCATTCTAAGTCTTTAGATCATACATATAATGAGAAAAGCATGCAAAAGACAGGAATCTGAAGATGATAGTCTAAATATATGATCTGTAATCGAGAGAATAAAATTGGACGCTTTATTCATGTTAAAATTGTTATGTTGTCTACTTCCTAATGGAGACGACTTGTCTTGGTCGTCGGAGAAGGGACTCATGCGTAGAGACATTGATATAGTTTCTAGTGATGGAATCTATATTAGATCATACCAAAGTTGAATTGTTTTAATTAATAATTCCGTTTGAATAAAACAATTCACTTTTGACGAATTATGTGTGATCATCATAATCTTGAGATGAATAATAAACCCGAATGCTTGAATTTTATCCTTTGATGTACTAAAGGGAGACATCCTGACATTATAAAAAGATATGCTTACCGGTACATTGGGGGTATGGCTCTTGTGTGTGTAGATTTATTATTAATAGATAGAGAATCCATAGGTCCTATAAAGAGCAAATGATATCATCTTATGGCATTATCTATTAATTGGAAAATATGAGTGCTCGTCCATTAGTTTACATTGTGTTATTTAAAGGTTTACTCTTTGTATTGGTACAAATAGTGGATTTTTTGATGGAGTAGTAATGGAACATAAGAGAATCAGGAAGGTAAAATGAAAATTGACCTTAAGTCGATTATGGATATCTTATGGGGATGATACATAATATAATGAGTCATAGATAAGAGCTATTCGGAACTTTGTAAATATACTATATAGATCGAGAGTGCAACTCTAGGCTTTTAGTGGAGTAGCACTAGAGTTTATAATCAAGTGATGAACTTGTAGGTTAACAAGACTGTCGTGATTATAGGAGCTTGATCTATATATGTCGATTGTCCCCTTGCTAGCTCATATAATTTCCTGTAAAGATACGGCGTATTTCCTATATATTGGTAACTTATGTTATTTCCGTAAAAGGTTCAAAGATCAACGTGAGATTGGTGATTAATTCAGGAGTAATTTATCGGGTGAATTAATTGTTAAATTAATTCTAGATAAATTGGTTGAATTATTATTTTGGGTTTTATTTAATATGAGAATACTTTTATGACTGTTTTGATCAGGTAATTTCTATATTTGGTTACTTAAATCAAAACTGAGACTCCATGTAAGTTTTTCATATTAAAGAGCAAGAGAAACAAGTTTTTCAGAAAAGGAACCGGTCAACTGCTGATGGGGGCCGGTCGACCGGTACGTAACCTTTTAGGCTGTTCCGAGTCATACACCAGTCGACTGGTGAGTTTATAAAGGCTCTGTGATCGGTTGACTAGCTAAACTTTGACGTATCAGAACCGACTTAATGTGATTTGTGACGCGAGATTGACTTTGGAAAACCTAATTGTTGCGGGAATATGACTTTTTAAACTCTATAAATGGACTGATAAGTCCCAATATTTATTAGATCACTTCAGAGACTTTTTGGGGCTATTGGTAAGGGGTCTTGAGGGGAAAAACTGATTATTTCTCAAGATCTATTTTTTCTTTGGCTCTCTTATAGTTGGAAGGAGTTCAAGAATACCAATAGGAGATTGAATGACGTGTGCCCACTAGCACTCCGATCGTGGAAATGAGAATAACAAAGAAGACTAGTTGGTTGAGGCACTTCCGGTTGTTGTTTGGAACTTTTTGATCTATCAGACATGTTGCTTTCATAATCTCTAAAACGTTTTCATTCTCATTTTCATACAAAAAATAAAATTATTTTGGAACGAATTCCAAACACACCCTATATGTTTTGAATAGCCCATAGCCGACTTTGTGAATTCCCACTCTTGAATGACATTGGGATTTTGGTGAAAAAAAGTTAATGATGGTACGTGTAGTCATCTTGCTCGTTTTAATAAAGTGCATGGATTTTCGATTTTTATCCATTATTCTTAATTAATACATTTTATTTAAAGAATTATATAGTCAAAAGAGTATTAATTAAGTGTAAAGTGTAAAAATATTGAACATTACATTTTTAGGAAGGTAAAGTCTGTAATTTATTTAAGTTGGGAAAATGAGATAAATCTTTAGCGTGCATGAGTCTTAAATTTTTAGCTATTATTCTTAATTAATACCTTACTGGTTGAACATTATTATTGATTAAAAGAATATCGTAGTTGTATTAGTATATTGTAAATACTAATATGGCTATTTCCGATTAATGCAACTTCAAATATCTCAAAAAAAAAAATCCCTCCCTACTGTAGAAATTTAAAAAAAGAAGGATTTTTAAAATATAAGACTAGCAATTTAATAAAAATACTAAACTTTAAGGACCAAGATTATATTTTCCAAAAAAATAAAAAATAAAGACAAAAAATCTCCATAAATTATACCTCTTGTAATATTTTACTCCAGCGATCATTAAAGAATAACATTCATTATCACTGAATAATGAAATGTTAAAAAAATCCCTCTCTATTAAATTTTTATTGAATTGACATTTAATTAGTTATTTTAAGAGTATTTTAGTAACTCTATAGTTTGAAATTTAATATGAACTTAAAAGTAATTTTAATTTGACTTTTAATTATGAAACATTTCAATTAATAACGAATTGACTTTTAATTAGTTATTTTAAGAGTATTTTAGTAACTCTATAGTTTGAAATTTAATATGAATTTAAAATTAATTTAAATTTGACTTTTAATTACGAAACATTCATCATTAATTGAATGTAAGTTACAAATTTTATGAATAGTTTTTTTTTTGTAGAATTAAAAATTTATAAATTTGTTTTAATCATTTTTTTACGTTAAAAATAGCAAATGAAAAATAAAAAGCTTTTTTAAAAAAATGAACTATGTTTATGAGGTGGTGGATTTATTGTGTTATTAAATGTGAAGAAGGTTTATTTTGTTTTTTTTTTAAAAAAATTAGGTTGCGTGAGTAAAACAACAATTATGTTCTAAATTATTTAACAAAAACTATTATTGTTGTGACACATGTGAAAAACTGTTAAATTTTTAAACATAAGAGATGGTTTTGTTAACGTTTTACTGTTAAGGGGAAACATATGTTGTATTTTAAAGATGAGGGAAAAGTGTAATAAGGTGTATAATTTTGGAGAATTTTTTGTAATTAATCCAATAAATAAAGGAGAAAAGGAAAAGAAGGAAAGGAAAATCAGTTAAATCTGAGTGCAGGCAGTTTCCTCTCTTTTTGTTCTTCTCATTTCCAGTAACCAAGCCCAAAGGCGTTCGCCGACAGTTAACAACAACAACATTAACAGAAAATCATTCTCTGTATCTTTCATTTCAACCTCGTCAATCCAACCAAATGGGAGGCCTCAATAACGGTACTCTCTCTCTCTCTCTCTCTCTCTCTCTCTCTCCTGTTTGGTTGCTAAGAAAATCTCAGAGGAAAAAATTTTAAAAATAAAAGCAAAACTTGCAAGAATTTACTTCCCAAATTCCATCTTTCCATCCCCTTTCCCGCATTTTCTCAGCAACCAAACAATCACACACAACTAGATCTCAAAAGCGTAATTCTTGTGTTTTTTTTTTTTTTTTTGTGTGCACAGAAACCGGTTCAACCTCGTTCCTCTCCGATAAATCGGCGAAGATCTTCGTCGCGGGGCACCGCGGGCTGGTCGGCTCCGCAATCGTACGGAAGCTCGAATCCCTAGGCTTCACCAACCTTGTCCTCCGCACCCACGCGGAGCTCGACCTCACCCGCCAAAACGACGTCGAATTGTTCTTCGCCGCCGAGAAGCCACAATTCGTGTTCCTCTCCGCCGCAAAAGTCGGCGGAATCCACGCCAACAACACCTACCCCGCCGACTTCATCGCCGTCAACCTCCAAATCCAGACCAACGTCATCGACTCCTCCTACCGCCACGGCGTTAGGAAGCTCCTCTTCCTGGGCTCGTCCTGCATTTACCCCAAATTCGCCCCCCAGCCCATCCCCGAGCAGGCCCTCCTCACCGGCCCATTAGAGCCCACCAACGAGTGGTACGCCGTGGCGAAGATCGCCGGGATCAAGATGTGCCAGGCTTACCGGATCCAGTACAACTGGGATGCGATTTCCGCAATGCCCACCAATCTGTACGGACAAAACGACAACTTTCACCCGGAGAATTCTCACGTTTTGCCCGCCCTGATGAGGCGGTTTCACGAGGCGAAAGTGAGGGGGGACAAGGAGGTTGTCGTTTGGGGGAGTGGGAGCCCGTTGAGGGAGTTCTTGCACGTGGATGATTTGGCTGATGCTTGTGTGTTTTTGATGGAGGAGTATAGTGGTTTGGACCATGTGAATGTTGGGAGTGGGAAGGAGGTGACTATTAAGGAGTTGGCTGAGTTGGTTAAGGAGGTTGTGGGGTTTGAGGGTGAGCTTGTTTGGGACCGATCCAAGCCCGACGGGACCCCGAGGAAGCTCATGGATAGCTCGAAGTTGGTGGGGTTGGGGTGGACGCCGAAGATCTCGCTCAAGGAGGGCCTTGTGGATACCTACAAGTGGTACTTGGAGTATGTCAAGCAATGATTTTTATGCGAGGTGATTTTGCTTCAAATGAGTTTTACTTAATAATCTATTGTCATTGAATTTTGATAACTAAGTTATTCAAACATCGGAATGTTGATTGTGTATTAAAATTTTCTGTGGAATAATTGATGGTGATGATGTCTTTTCAGGTGATTCTATCGGACTCATTTTGTTGATCTTATGTAGGTAAAAATGCATGTTATGTGGAAGTTAATCTATGATTGTTGTTGAAATCTTATTGCCCTGTTATTGGAATATGGATTGTATGCTGAATTTACGTGGAATAATTGATCCAAGATGTCGTTGGAGATCGACCTTTGACGAGAACAGTGTAAAACCAAGTGAGGGGTTGTTCAAGGAATCAAAAGCGCTGTGCCATTTTGTATCATTAGACAACTCCCTTTATCATTTCTAAATTAAGTTAGCTATGTTTTAAGAACCATTCATTTTTCTTTTCTTTTGGGTAATTGAAATATTGCTTTTGTACCACATCCAGTTATCTATGATGTGGGAAGAGGTACATCTTGAAGAGTATAAGGGCGCATTTCTAATCAGTGTTGAAAGAATAGGAAATAAATTCCAAGAAAAAGTGAATTAAGTTCCACGGAATCAAGTTCTAGAATTCCATTAATTTGTTTACTAATTTATTTGGGAATTAAATTATATGAGGAATTAAATTCCTACTATGTTGTTTACTTTGCTGAAAAGTTAGAAGGAATATGAATAGAATAAGTGTAGTTACAAAACTGTCATTATATGAAGTAACTAATTAAATTAAAGTAAGGCTACATTAGTAGATAAGTTTAGATAGTTCCTATTTTTTAGGGAAAGTAATTAAATTCTGTTGGTAGTAGGTGGGATATAAGTTCCCCCTTATCAAGGAACGTAATTTCTCATTTGTAGGTTGGATCCACTCCATCTAATTCTTAAATGCAAAAGTAAACACAAGAATTTAAAATCAGGAATTTTACCTTTCCTGAAATTGAATTCCTTATTAGTAAACGCGCCTTAAGATCGAAAGATGAGCTATTAGTTTGAAGAAGCTGATCAGGTTATCCCCATCTTGTATAAGTGGGCAGCTACAAGATGTCTACGTGTCTTTATCTTTTTATCTTTGTATCTTTTTTTTTTTTTTCCAATAATGTCTTTATCATTTAATTTGGGTTAGTTGTGTTCAAGTTTATTGTAGAAGAGTATAGGTGATCATCGATCTATGTAATAATGCAATGGTCTTGGTCTTTTTGCCTTTGTGTTTAATTTGGCTTAGATGTGTACTAAAAGTGCTTGCTTATACTTGTCTATTTGCTAATCCATTTTGGTGGAACTGAGGGTGCATTCATTCGATCCTTTTCTTTTCTATGCGTGCATCTTTGCTCGAGTTTCAGTAGTGTACCAGTGACAGATTTTGTCATATCAGCCTGTGGTGTCATTCTCCCCTTCTTATGGTTGGGTTATTCTTGTAGAATTGTAAAACCATTTTATCCAATCCTATGTTGTCTCCTCGTTGCACTTCTTAAAGTTTGAACTTCTCCATGTTCTGGATCTTTTGGTGAAAAATGCATTTGACAGCTTGAAATTTGAATGTTCGCTATTTGGTTCAAGTAACGTTATTTGTGCTTCTTTTTCGTTTTTCCACGTTTTGGGGCGTATGGTAACTGATGTTATAACAATTTTCTTGCCTAAGAGATGGAACTATCATAGTCTTTGCTCTTGTTTGGTTTTCTGCCAATGATCCATTTTTTTATTCTCCATGTTCTAAACAAAGACCCTCGAGGATAAAAATGTCTCCTTTCCTTTCAATGTTTTGGCAAAAGCCTCAAAGAGTTGTTTAGAAATTATTTTAAGCATATTTTAGGCTCTTTATTTCTTGTGTAATTATATTCCTATGCTTATTATTATGAAATTCTCTACTGAAGTTAGTAGGATTCAGTAAGCTTGCACTGTTTGAGGGTTGAGAGTTTTATCTTTTTGTACGCCAAAACTATTTGTTGGAAAATGTTAGGATATGAAGATGTGCAGGAGTTTGGGAGATAGTTTTTCGTGAAAAACATTTTGGATGGGTTCTTGCTCATTGTAAAGTTGACAGGTATATACTTTTATTGACTGCTGCAATTTCTTTGTTATGTGCTTACTGCTTATTGAATTAGATTACCAGAGTGGTTCAAACTTTCAGATTGTTAGCAGACTTCAGAGGTTGTTTCATGAGTTATGTGAGGTAGGTCTCCCTGATGCTGGGGAAGACATTGAGGTTCCCACTAATTTAAACCCTCGTGTTGGTTTCCCCCTCTGATGGGTTTAATTAAACTTAACTGCGATGTGGCTGTTGTTGACTGCTGTGGCGAGAGATTTCGAAGTTCTTATTACTAATATCTCTATTAGGAGAGTGGAGTTTTTTCCTTCTATGGCAGAAGCTCTTGTAGTTCGTACATTGATGGACTTGGCCTGTCGTAGAGGATGGGACAAAGTGCTGTGCGAAGGGGATTGTCTTCCTTTGATCGATGCTTTGGCATCTGAACGGTAGAGGTGTCAAAAGGGCCGTGCCCGGCCCTTCTAACCCAAGCCCGTCACGGGCTTAGGCCGGGCCAGGCACGGCCCTGTACAGTACAAGGCCGTGCTTGGGCCGAGCATGAGTAGAGACCCTCAGGCCCAGCCCTGGCCCCAGCCCTTGTCCATAAGGGTTAGGGCCGAGCCCGGGCCCAAGCCCAGGCCCTTCACAGGCCGACCCTGGCCCTTTTCAATCTATTGAAGCTCAATGGTCTAATTTATGGCCGTTGAGCATGCATCAGTCGACCAGGGCGGGTGACTAGTAGAGGCATCATCAGTCGACTGGTGGATTACTACTTCTCTGTTATCGGTCGACCAGATTTCACTGGATTCAGATTTTTTATCATATTTAATGACAAATATATATATATATATATATCATATGCCCCAAAACGATGTGATTTTGTTGAAATAATATGAATAATTACAAGTAAATGGCAACCTTGTTAAAAATCTTGCCAAATAAAACCCGTAGGGAGATCGAGACAAAACCTTAGCAAATGAAAAAAGAGTGCAATGTATAAGGAAAATTAAATTACACTGTGGCCGAATTGTTTCCGAAAGATTCTGTTATGGCTAAGTTTGAAAAATAGTCTAGAAGTGTATCATATGTATAATGTTGTTTTTGTCTTCTTGCATTTTCTCAGTCTTTCACGCATATTAGCCCCTCCAAAATATTCGGGTACATTATGCTCCTCTTATTATCAAGAATTCGATTGCTTGCACTAAATGCTTGCTCTGATGCTATTGTGGACATTGGAGTTGTCAAATGTTACGTGCTATAACGGATAATGTTGGAAAACGATATTGCTTGCTCTTCCACCACTGTAAGATGTCTAGTTTTTCGTCATCAATTACAAAATTTGACTCAACATATTTGATAAGTTCTGAAGACGGTCTATGTGTTAATGATGATCGCAATGCTTTCTCTTTTCTCTTCAAGGAGCTCCACGGTAAACCTTGAGGCCCGGCACTGCTCTTTGAAGTCGAAGTTGACTGTTATTGTTGTCTTGTTCTGTATTTTTTTCATACCATGCAAATATATCTTCTAACATTTTCCTTGCATCATCAATGGTTAGTTCCATGTCAATAGATAAATTATATGTTGTAGCAGACATTAAAGATTTTGTACCATCTAATTGACATCTAGGATCTAAAATTGTTGCTAATGCATATAAAATTAGACAACCGGCCAAATAACTTTTAAATTTTCTTTCCATTTCACTTACTATGGGTGCAAAAAGATCACTATTCCTATAATAAGTAAATGTTTTAGAAATATTAAATAATTGATGCAAAGTAAGATTAGCAGTAGGATAATACACACCAGAAAGTAATTCGGTAGCATTGTACAATACTTCAAAAAATTTTAAAAAGTACTCACCAATCTTCCAATCTGCATCATAAATAAAATGCTCATCATGCTTAGTGTTCACATATGTAGTAATTATCTATTGATACGAAATAGAAGTTTTCAACATTAAGTAGTTGGTGTTCCACCTATGTCGAACATCTGTTGGAAACTTTCTTGACCTCATCTGGCTATTCCTGTAATATTGTCGAAATTCTTAGAGCCGAGCTCCTGAACTTAAGATGAAAGATAATGCTTCTCTAATCTTAGTTAGATTATGGGATATAATTTCAATACCAGCTTGGACTACTAAGTTTATGATATGACATGCACAACGTTGATGAAAAAATTATTCACCAAAAGGTGGTTTCAAATTTGCTTTGAACACGTTGATAGCATACGTGTTTGCTAATGCATTATCAAAAATAATGCTTAAAACTTTATCTTCAATGCTATAAAAATTAAAATTTTCCATAATAGTATAAAAAATAGCATTTGCATTATGTGGAAAATGATATGAATGAAAACCAATAATTCGCTTTTACAAAACTCAATCCTCGTCAACATTATGAGTCGTGACGCATAAATAACCAGTTTTATTACAACTCTCCTAAAGATCAGATGTGCAAGAGACTGTAGCATTAAAAAGCCTAAAATTATCAACAAACGATTAATTCATTCCATAAAAAACATTCATGCAATTAGGTTTAGTTGTGTTTCTACTAACACTTTTAAATTATGGACAAAATGCAGTCATAATAAATTCTTCAAATGCTCAACATCTGCAAAAGACAATGGTAATTCGGCACTAGCTAAAAATTTAGCTAGTGCATCATATGAAAAATTTTGTGAACCTTGATTTGTGAGTGAAAGTATTTGTTGGCGGGAGTCTACACTACCACCTTGGTGTAATGGTAGACATGCTTTATAATGTCTATCGAGATGGCCTGTACCCCCACCTTTTTGTTGAAAAAGTATTTTTTACAATATTTACAAACCGCACATTTTAATTTCACTTGTTTTTAGATTTGGCCATATCTCCTCTGTGTAATGTTGTCATGCAGGAACTAATAATGTTAACAAAAATATTTATAAACAATAAACAATGTAAATAAACATTAAATAATAAAATATTATACAAAAATAATGAGTAGACTACATTTTTTTATCGGGATATCTTCAATTTGATTGAAATTTATAAATGAAAGAGATAAGAGAAAGTTAGGAATCGAGAAAGAAAGCTAAGAATCAGAGAGAGAATATGAGAGAAAGAGTTACGAGAGTAACATGAGTTGAGACTTGAGAGTGATGTAGAGAGTTGAGAATGTTGTGAGGGAGATAGGCCTTTTATAGTGTTTTTTATCTCTTAATCTCGCTCTACAACGGATCTACTTTTGTCCGTTGAGCAGGAATTGGTCGACCTTAGAGGTCGACTGTTTGAGGTACCGCTGGCCCTGGGCAAGGCCGTGCCTAGGCCTGTGTTGGGCCGTGCC